CAATACATTTGGCCGCTATGTCTTCTAATCTTTGGGTTAATTTGGGTTTCCTGACAATGATTTCATTCAGGTCCATAGGATCTAAACAACCCACACCTTGGGCAATGTTTTCCATAAGCGGGACATTGTTTGGGTCCATGTTCAGTTCTACATCTTTTACAGAAAAATAGATCTGGATTCTGATTGTTTTTTGGTGGGAACTTCTTTTCTTGAAATTTGCTAAAGTTTTTCTTCTTTACAGCATCTATTTCTGCGACCTTTTCTTTATCCTTTGACATTTCCTTCGCTTGAGTCTTGCTCTGTTCACTACTTGTTCTACAGATTTTTTCTGCTTTAGCTAAGTTCAGATCTTCTAAACGAAGTAGTGTTTCTTGTAATCCTGGATCTCTAATGCCGGCTACAATTCTATCTCTGATTGCCTTATTTTCAGGTGTGTCCTGATTTTCACCTTCATTGTTGAAGTTGCATGTTTTGCTTAATCTTCGTAAGTCACCGATGAATTCTTCAATGCTCTCCCCTTCTGCTTGGTCTCTTGTATAAAATACAAATCGCTCAAATACTTCATTTTCATGAGGCTTCACATATTGTTCTATTTTTTTGATCACCTCATCATATTTTTTCTCTTCTTCTGCTGTCATGGGGATTGCTTCTAGGACTCTGCATGCTTCTTCTCCAGCAAGGTTTCGTAGATATGAAAGTTTGATTTTGTCATTTGCCTCATCGTGACCTGTAGTTATTAGGAAGTCTTCGAATGATCGTTTCCATCTTCGCCAGTCTACTGCTGCATTTGGACCTTTCAAATTGAGGTCTGGTGGCAATTTCACTTGACTCATTCCAACCTTTGCACCGGCTCCTTGCGGTGGTGCTTGCGGTCCGTCAGGCATGCTGGTTTGGCTTGGTTAGGTTCTTGAGTGTCACAAGTTCCAGTTTCTTGATCAGTTAAAGTCACTATTATTTACTTCACTGTTGTGCAAGAGGTACCCATAACAATCTTGCAAATCGTGATAAAAGCATGAAATTTGGCACATAGGTTCCTAAGACCATTTAGAAACTTTTGGTCCGCAGCCCATTTCGATGGCTGCGTGTGGAGCCGAGATATTGAACAGTTTTTGAACACCTTGTACAAAATGCGATTTTGGCTGCTCTAGCTATGAAAATCGGCATACACATGCCTCTTTGCTAATGTTTCACATCGCGAGGTGTGGGTGGTCCACCGATGTGATACCCACGGTGAGAAAGCCCCTGTACCAAATCTGTTCAAGGTTTGAACCCTGTTGAACACTTTGCAAAAGTTATGCCAAAACGACAGGCAGGGTGTCGTTTCCGACTAATTATACCCCTCTGATTTCGATTCTGCCATCCGATATGCATTTCCGGACCTTAGTGACGCTCAAAAAGTGCGCAGAAGGGATTGCACTGCTGTGTTGCCTACCCACCAGGCGCTCGACATTTCTGTAAATTTGTGTGTTGGCCCAGAAAGACGTCTGAATGGGCTCTACACTTTAATGATCGTTTTGAAATTGCCTAGAGATTGTCTATTGCAAAATTACAGAATAATCCCACCATGTGTAATAGCTCAAGTCTTGTTCAAAGTACAAAATATTAGGTTTTTCCACGTTCAAATGCAGGAAAATTGCTCTATTTTATCGGTAGAGGGTTGCAAATATCATCATTCAATGCAGAATCACGCGGACTGAAAGAAAATATACGGGTTTGTGGTGTTGAGAGTGAAACAGTTGTTGCCTGTAAAGAAAAACTGAGAGAAACTGAAATATCCCGACTTTTTTCGCTGTTCAAATTTTTGTTTTCGGCGTATTTTGATAAAACCAGCAGGTTTATGAAAAAAGTGACTTTTACAAACCATGCAGGGCCTAGCATTCTCTACAAAATTGAAACTAAGAAAATTTCTGTATTTCATAATCTACAGGCGCGAGAATAGTTCAAACTCCTCGAAGGGGTGATAGGCAACCGTCGTGACACCCTCTCCACTTCTTCTTGTTGAGGTCACAAGTTTACTAGTTTTGTAATACTGTATACCTTTTTTGCATGTTTATTGCTTTTCATTTTGATGTCGGCCAACGAGCAATTTATAACATTGACCTAGACTGCAAACCTATAATAATCAAATAACAGAAAAGAAAATTTACGTTGATTTACGAATCTATTTTGCTTGCTTTGCTGTCTTTAGAGAAGGGATTTTTGTGGGTACTTGCCCTCCACATATTCGTATTAATTTAGATTTAGAAATATTTCCGCAATTTACAGCACAGAAGCAGCACATGTACATCAAACCTCGAAAAAACGTTGAAAACGTTTAAATTCTGCACACTTGGACTTACACGAATCTAGGAACTAAATGGTGTGCTGCTGCAGCTGCTATACTTTTTGGAAGTGTTTGAAGTTTAAACACAAATTTACGTCTAACCTAGTTAAACATCACAATGTGTTGAGAAAATGCACACCTGAAATTAAACATCAATTGACGTGCAACATAAAACACTTATTTTACCAGTGTGTACACCTAAACCTGAACATGGAGAGGGTTGACTCGTTGACCAACATTGAAACTATTAACAATTTTAGGTGTACAGTATTACAAAACTAGTAAACATGTGACCTCAACTGGAAGAAGTAGAGAGGGTGTCACGCGGTTGCTTATCACCCCTTAGGGGCCGCAGCATGGGGCTTTGAACACAAGCACCGCTTCGAGGAGTTTGAACTATTCTCGCGCCTGTAGATTATGAAATACAGAAATTTTCTTAGATTCAATTTTGTAGAGAATGCTAGGCCCTGCATGGTTTGTAGAAGTCACTTTTTTCATAAACCTGCTGGTTTTATCAAAATACACCGAAAACAAAAATTTGAACAGCGAAAAAAGTCGGGATATTTCAGTTTCTCTCAGTTTTTCTTTACAGGCAACAACTGTTTCACTCTCAACACCACAAACCCGTATATTTTCTTTCAGTCCACGTGATTCTGCATTGAATGATGATATTTGCAACCCTCTACCGATAAAATAGAGCAATTTTCCTGCATGTGAACGTGGAAAACCCTAATATTTTGAACGAGATTTGAGCTATTACACATGGTGGGATTATTCTGTAATTTTGCAATAGACAATCTTTAGGCAATTTCAAAACGATCATTAAAGTGTAGAGCCCATTCAGACGTCTTTCTGGGCCAACACACAAATTTACAGAAATGTCGAGCGCCTGGTGGGTAGGCAACACAGCAGTGCAATCCCTTCCGCGCACTTTTTGAGCGTCACTAAGGTCCGGAAATGCATATCGGATGGCAGAATCGAAATCAGAGGGGTATAATTAGTCGGAAACAACACCCTGCTTGTCGTTTTGGCAAAACTTTTGCAAAGTGTTCAACAGTGTTCAAACCTTGAACAGATTTGGTACAGAGGCTTTCTCACCGTGGGTATCACATCGGTGGACCACCCACACATCCTCGCGATGTGAAACATTAGCAAAGAGGCATGTGCACGCCGATTTTCATAGCTAGAACAGCCAAAATCGCATTTTGTACAAGGCGTTCAAAAACTGTTCAATATCTCGGCTCCACACGCAGCCATCGAAATGGGCTGCGGACCAAAAGTTTCTAAATGGTCTCAGGAACCTATGTGCCAAATTTTATGTTTGTATCACGATTTGCAAGATTGTTATGAGAATTTGAGTGTACCTCTTGCACTATGAGCTCTGCCTGTCCCACCCACGACCGTTATGGTTGACGGGCACCTCGCGGTGTCCGAGAGCGGACATGTTTTGTTGTTCATCTGTATTGCCCTAGGTTTCTTTTCGCTGTAAGTTCTAACGCTTACTCTTTTTTTCTAGGTTGGGAATGGAACCAAGACACCTCAAAAGCAGGGTGATGGCGAGTACGGTTCAGGTGACGAGAGGTACCGACCCATACTGTTCTATACTGTTTCATTTTTTCTGTTGGGAATGCAGGGAGGGGGGGGGATGGGCGTCGAGCAGGAAATACGTTCAATTTTGACACTAGTTGTACTATAAATCAAATGAGATTATGTTGTAAGGCAGACTCCCCCCCCCTACCCTTTTAAAAATATGGCCATCTAGAATATATTTTCTTTTTTTTTTATCATTACAGTAACACGCAGAGGGAACTTTTTGAAAAGTGTCGCATTCTTGCAAAGGGTATCAAAACCAATGACAATGATTAAGATGAAATGAAGGATCTGAAGCCGCATACTAAAGCACTGCACAAGATGTGGGACTCGGTGAGGGTGATTCGCAAAACAAAAACTAACGAGTTGGAGGAGGCCGTGCAATGTGGCCAATGCAAGAAGGTGTTGATTTACCATGAGCGAAAGAACGGGAACAGAAATGCGTCCCGACACCTTAAGTCTGCTAAGTGCAGAAAGCAAGGTGCAGCTACAGCTAAAAGTGGGGCAGACGTGTGGCAGTTGAAGATCGACCCGGAGCCCCATGTAAAGAAATCCTTTATCACAGTCACTGCAGAATATTGCGCATGGGATCTCCGCCCACCAGAGTGTGTGAAGAATCAAGGACTTGTAAACCTCATCCAGGCGGCCATCGACGTCGGGTGGCAACATGGTCGTGTGGACGCCAGGAAACTCCTTCCCTGCCCCACTCCTGTAGCCAAATACACGGCGTTGGAGGCCAAGAATGCCAGAAAACAGCTGGCAGATGAAGTGCGCCCTCTCATGGATGACCACCAGAGTTGCAGCGACAACTGACTGCTGGACAGACGACCATAAGAAGGAGAAGTATCTTGTTCCTACCATACATTTTATCAAAGATTGGGTCCTGCACGCACGATTGCTGCACACCATTGCCCTCCCACATGGAGAGTCCTGCTATGGTAAATATTTTTCTTTAAACGTAAGTTAGGCAAGGCACTGAATCAAATGATACACAGTAATCAATATTTTTTTTCTTTTCGGTTCAGCGGATAATCTAGGGAATTTGCTCAGGCGCTCCTTTCTAGAGTGTGATTTGGACCCTTCTTTAATGGCCAAAATCAAGTGGGTGTCTGACTCTGGTTCGGACATTAAAAAGGTGCTTGAAGATTTCTGCTGGATGTATTTGTGCTTCACACGCCCTTAATATTGTGCAGCGAACGGCCTTCAGCATTAAGTATGCTGACGTGGTGGAGGCCGCCTTCAACTTCTTTGTGACTGCTCAGAATATTGTGTCTAAGGCCAACACATGGGTGCGTGAGGTACGCGCAGGACTGTCAAAGCTGGAAGTAAAGGTAAAAGACTTCAAGTTCCGCACGTATGTGACGGCTAGTCAGAGCAATGTGGCGATGCTTAAAAGCATCATGAAGCACCACTGTTAAAAAATCCTACAGGAAATTCTACAGTTTGCCCTGTCAATTTGTCGCTACGGTCGCGACTGTAATTTTTGATTACAGTCCACTCTGTACAGGATGTACTGTAACTTCGCAAACCGCCTTTCTGGTCAACACAGCACTTGACTTCAGCACTGAAGTACAGCCCATATCATAACAGTCTGGCCTGTACATAAAATATACAGGACGGACTGTAGTCAAACTGTAATTCCTTACAGCATTTTTGGCTGAGCGATTAGCGAAGCCCATT